CTCGGTCTGACTTTGTCTCCGTCGTTTAGGCCAGGCATTCGGCTGCATGAGGAGAAGGATGCGGTATGGCAGCTCGTGGCGTGGGCAACCAGCAGAGCTGACACCTTGCCCCAAGCCCCCACTGCAGCAGGGGGCGAAGGATCTCATCCCCGACGGCGCAGGGGGTCGCGCTGCTTGATAAGCGGGGCCGAGAGGCCGGGCCGGGTCAGGAGCCGAAGGGGAGCCGCCGGCCGCGGCGGGGATAACCTCTGTTAGGCAAGGGAGGCTTCCCTGCCAGGGTCGCTTTGGGAAGGTGAAAGGCTGCGGTAGATTAACTTCGGCAGGGATCTGCCGGGCCACCTGCCTTCTCTGCGAAATTCAGCATCACAGGCTGGAAAGGAGGCCGAGAGCTGGGCGACGGGAGCGGTGGGTGTAAAGAGAGTAATTTAAAGGGGAAAAAAAAAGTACTAAAGGAAAGAAAAAAAAAAAAGAAAAGAAAAGAAAAGAAAAGAAAAGAAAAGAAAAGAAAAGAAAAGAAACCAAAAATCAAACCAAGTCCCAGAGATAACAAAAAAAAAAATCAGAACCAAAACAAACACTAAAACAAGCCACACGCAAAAATAAAATAAAATAAAATAAAATAAAATAAAATAAAATAAAATAAAATAAAATAAAGAAATTCCACAAGAAAACCGCCTTCCAGCCGCCCTCCAGGACACCTGTACAAACCCAAATCCGGCTCTTCCCGGCCCAAACCCCTCTCTTCCCGGCGAGCCAGAAATACCAGATCGTATTAACAGGCCTGAAAGCGGGCGCAAGACAAACAGGTTCAGGACAGCTAGCGCTCCAGTGACCCTTTCCTTCCCTCCCTCGCATCAGGGCAGGAGAGGCCGAAGCGGCGACACCACCACCGCCGCCGCCGCCGCCGCTGCCGCCCGTTTCCGCAATGCTGCGGCCGGCTGCGGCTCCCTCCGCCTGGGAACGGCCGCGCAGCTCCATGGAAGCCCTAATGGCACTTCTGTTTTAGCAAGACCTTTAATGCCACTATTAGAGGTTAGTACAATAGAGGCAGGGTTTCGAGGAGGGAATACTCACAACGTCGTCTGGGGCTTTATTTATTTATTTAATTCATTAATGAGCCTGTTCCGAGTATGAAAATGAGATGAAATAACTGCAATTCTCAGTGATTTTCTTAAAATATACATTCACAGCCAGGTTTAAATAGGGACCGAAAACTCTGGATGCTTCTAGTAATTCCTGTTGTCTGCGTCTAGGCGTAAGGAAGACATCTAAGATCTATCGCTCTGTCATTTTAATTCAGGTCATTTTGTATAGCGCACATTATCTTTTGTGACACTTATTAATCAGCTTGTTCCCATCCGCTTTAAAGATCCATAAATGTGCAGTTTTACAGTCAGTTTTGGCAACTGCTTCGAGGATGGGGGCAGGGTCACAATTTAAACCAATCTGCCTCTGGGCAGAGAATCGCGGGTTTTGAAAGCGATTTATTCTCTCTTCTCTTCCTCTCATTAGCTCTTTTTCAGAAAGAAAAAGACCAAACAAAACAACAAACCCAAAGCCAAAGCAAACAAAAACATAAAATACTGACTGTCAAGACAGAAGTCCCGTGGTGTATTTTTGTTCTACAGCAATAAATGCCTTGGCAAAAAGTCAAAACACTAGAGAAGACGATCTTACAGAGCGGGAGCGCGGGGGAGGCTGTAGGTTGCCGTCTCCTGGTCTTTATTTCATGAATCTGAAGGTCAGACAGACACCGCGTATTTGTGATCTCGGAGCCAAAAACTGTGCCTTCTCCGCGCCTTGAGCGGGGGAAAAGAGTAGAAACGAGAACAGAAATCTCCTTTCTTGCAGCCTAATCGGGCTCCTCCGCGGGGAAAACCTGTGAGTTCAGTCCAAAATGTGCATATCTGGGAAAACCCTGGAGGGAACGAGCAGGGGAAGACCTGTCTAAACACCCTCACAAGCCCCGTCGAAGCGCTACGACCAGACGCCGCGGTGAGGGTTCCAAACTTTGCCTAAACTATGTGTCAGCTTGCTCTGGAAATAAAGCGGGAGGGGAAGCCATCCACTGGAGTTTTTAAAAACACAGACCTTTCCCTCTCTCTCTTCCCCTCCAGTCTAGACAGAGCTGGAAGCCAGTTCTATAGCTGGACAACGTTCCTGATCATGCTGGCTGCAGTCACTACGGGCCTAGCACATGCTGGAGGCGTCTCAGGCCTCTCCCCTACCCTGCCACCGCGGGCTGGAAGAAATAAACTCCCTTCAGCCTTAAAGTGGTGATGCTCAGGAGCTGGCTGGGGAGACCCGGAGCGCTGCACAGGCGGCGGAAGCCTCTATGTGATGACTCCCCGGGGGAGCGGGGCGGCGTGGCTCTCACTGCTTGGGCAGCAGAGGCCGGCGGGTGGCAAGGGAGCTGTTACTTGCCCACCTTTATTTCAAGTCCCAGGACCTCGGACATGGATTCCCATCTGGTGTCCCGTCCCGTTCCCCCCCCCCCCCCCCAGCCCATCTGCTCCAGCGTGCTCTAAGGGGCTTTTTCCCCAGGGGTTTCTGCCCCAGAATTTAAGATGCGGAGCCGGGCAGCCCTCTCAGGTCCCCGCCTCCGTGTCGTCCCGTCCTGTCCCCCCCCCCCCCGTTAAGACAACTGAAAACCACCAGCTGGGTATGGGGAGCAAGAACATTCTTCCCCTCATTCCGCAGACAAATCTCGAGGGAAACGGAAACTGGGGTACTGCAGGACTGTGTGCCGTCGGGCATCACCGCGCCCGGCATCAAGCACCCTACTGCAGCCACCTGTCCGGCTTCATTCTCTACCCTTCACCCTCCCAGCCACTAAACGCAAGGTTCGGAGACAGGAGGCAGTTATTCCCCGGCCTGTCATCCCTGGATGCAAAGCTTTGGTTTTAAACGTATTTCCACCCGTACTTAAGACGATGAAAGATCAGGAATTCGCTCTATGCATTTAAACATTGCTCTTAATAAGCAGAGTGTGCGGAAGCTCACGCCCGGCCTGTTTAAGGAAGACAGACACATAAAACACACCCGAGCTGTGGGTATAAACCTGCTCTCGGGGTCGTCTTGTTGCTCTTGAGGATCAGTAAGGCTGCAAAAGCAGGGACACATCCGGCAGCATCTCGAAATGCGCCAGTTTTCTGGCTAAATCAAAGCCATTGGAGGGCATGCTCCCCAGCCAGGGCCGGCGAGCGGCCCCCGAAATTACGACGCTCTATTTCTCATCGGGAAATTCCCCGATGGGGGATAATGGCTGGAAGTCGCAGCGGAGCAGCGCGTCGTTCCCCCTTGCTCCTCTAACCGAGCTTACTGCGGGAGCACAAGCCAAAGGAGCCCTGGCTTTCCGTAGCACGGTTAGTACATGCTCTCGAAATTACTGAATTAGATGGCCACAACGGTAAGCTTCTCTCGGTTTGGGAGTGGGGGGTTTTTCGCCTCCGCTACGCTTATTTTCATATATATAGATTTAATTTTATCTGCAGCCTCTTAATAAAGCTCCTTAGAAACCGCGACGGAGAGGCAGACTTTGCACTCTGGAATTTGCTAATTCCTTCAACATCCCCCCCCTCCCCGTCCGGAGAGGCACAAACAAATGACAAAGCGGGGAGCTGGGCTTTATTTAGCCACCCGCAGACGCTAACCGGCGTTTCATTTCACGGCTCAGAGGCGGCACGGAAAGAACGGGGGGCCGACGGTTCCCATGGGGTGCCTGCCGGCCTCTTCCCCTCGTCCGAAACGGCCAGACCTTGCGTCCTTTTGGACTGTAGGGTGCGAGGCTAGCCGGGGCGGTTTTCTACCAAACACCGGGGAAGAAAGGAAGGAAGCAGAGCCGGGTGTCAGGCCTCCTCTCCCCGTGTCTCCAAGAAGAGCGACAGAAACCCCCGGCGCTCACCGCACCGCACGATCCCGACTCCTCATGGTCCCAGGTGGGGAGCAGCGGGGTTCCGGCCCCGCTCGGGCTGGTTGGGATCGAACAGGTCTCCCCCCGCTCTCCCCGGTCCCGGGAGAAGGCGGATGGCTTCCTTGCTAAGCCACCGCGCCTTTTTTTCCCCCAGCCTGCTTCCCAACCCCCAGAAAACTCCAATCAAAACAAAATAACACCACTACCCACAGTATTTCTCCCCGAGGCCGTGCCTAGGCACCGACAGGAGCGCCGTGCCGAGGGGCCTACCCCAGGGGCCGGCCCGGCTGCCTCCCGGGGCAGCAGACACTGGGCACAGCAGAAGCGAGAGGAGCCCGCTTCCTCGGGAAGGTCCCCCGAGAAGATGGAGCTGAACCTGCCGCAAAGGAGGAGCAGGGACAAGAGAGGGATTAACCGGACGGCTCTGATATCCCCCCCCCCCCCCTCCCTCCGCTGCCACCCCGGCACAACTGCCAGCTGGGGTCCACGCATAGCCAGCACCACCGGCCGCTGTTCCCGGGGGCTGGGAGGGGGGAGAGGCTCGTTTTCCCACGTGCGGCTGCAACGGGCTGTTCTCTGCCTTAGGCCTCACAGGACCAGGGCTGCTCCTTGCAGCCCACCCTCCAGCCCTCTGTCACGCCTTGGCTTTCGGGCAGCGAGCGCAGCGCTGCCGCCTCTGCCCCGACAAGCCGTCTCCCTTCCACTCACGGCGGGTTTTACCTCGCTAGCACCCCTGCAAGCACCCTGCTTCAGATGCTGGCTTGTCTCGGATTATGTGTTCCCCCTCCCTCAACCCCCTTTGGGGCCGCTGGTCTGCCCCATGCCTCCAGTACGGGCCGGGCGGGAGGCGGACGGCCCCTTCCCGTGGAGCCGGGGTGGTTACCTTCGGGGAAGACTGCTCGCATTTTCAGGTAGCTGGTGGTGAGGCGGATAATGGATGCCTTGTCCAGCTGGGAGGTAATGGCCGAGGGCAGAGGCAGGAGTTTGGCCAGTTCGTAGAATTCTCCATTTTCTTTTTCCCGTCTAGTCTTTGCCGCGTTCTTGGATTTTTCCTTCATCGCGACTACTGCAAGGCGAAGATGACACTGGCATATTAGACCCGATTCTTCTGAATTGCAGGGGGCATGGATTTCGGCTTCAGAGTTAGTATTTTCGTTTAAGTAAGAGGAGGGAATTCACCCAAATCAAATCAAATTATAATAATAAAAAATAAAAGCATAAAGGGAGGAAAAAACGGGGAGGGAAAAAAAGTCAATCCAACAAAACAAAAACACCAGCAACAGAAATGGTGCGAAGAGGGGGGAGGCAATCTCTGACCCACAACCACGACAGGCAAGGCCCTCAAAAGAAGTCAGTTCTGTTCTGACCCTGCGATATCTGCCTCTTGGAAACAGAGGCTAAAAGACCTACAGGAACCCCGGTCCTCTGCCTGCAGCTGGGATCGGAATCTTCTCCGCAACGGGGAACAAATCACCGGGTCCCCTTCAATAAAGGATTTCTACTCAATCCGGCCTCGTCTAAAAATAATAAAAAAAAATATTAAAAATAGAGCGTCCACGCAAGAAGTCATTGGGTTAAGCAGGCTGGACCATTTTTGGACATTTTGTCTCTTGAAAAAAAAAAAAAAGGAAAGGAAAATAATGAAAGACCGAGGTGCTCGTGTAACGACGTGCCAAACGATGTGGTCCCTGAGCGCGCGATGTGAGGAGACGAGCAAGGAGCTGGCGGGGCAGCCCCCTGCTAATCGAAAGTCAAAGCCGGTGCGGAGGGAGCTGGCGGCTGGAGCTCTCCGAAATCACAGGCTCGCATTTTCTTCCGACGCTTCCCTCTCGGCCAGCTCTCGGCGTCTTGCGGTAGAACGACGCTTTCCCCGTCCTCGAGAGGCTGCTTCAGCGGAGCGGCGCGGGGGGCTCCGAGACCCGCGATGCGGCGGCTGTGGCCGGGCTGGGTAGATGGCTGGGCTGCGGGCGCGGGGGTCTGCTGGCCGCGGGGCTGCTCCTGCCGCTCCGGCCGCTGCGCCCAGCTCCAAGTGTGGTTCTCATGCGGAGTCAAATTAAAGGATCCGTTTTCCTTGGGACCAGTGCCACTTCAGCGTTGTCTCTTTCCAAACAAGTCCGAGCGCTGGCAAAGGCGCGGGATAGATTCTGTTGGATTTATTTATTGTTTGTTTGGTTTTTTTTTTATTTCTTTTTTTTTTTTTAAATTTCCCCTCCTTTTAAAGAAAAAGAATTTGCAAGATCAGGAACTGTTTCTTTTTATTCTTCTTATTTGTCACGCATTTAAATTGTAAAGCTGTGGCTCTTTGCACAGGCGTGCCTTTCAAAGGCAGAGGGAGGGTTTGCTACATTCACCTCCCGCAAGGAGCAGTGATCCTCACCATACGGCAAGGATCGAAAGTAAATTTCCCCTCCTCTTGGAAATCCAAGCCGCTGCGCTCCTTGCCTGAAAACACCGGTATCTCCGGGTTTTGGTTTTTGGTTTTGTGGGTTTTTTTTTGTTTTTTTTTTGTTTTTTTTTTCCAGGGGCAGAAGGAGCTCTGAAGTGGACCCCTCTGTTAATTCTTTAGCAAAGGCTGCAGAAAGCCAGGAGAGCCTCAAGAGGGGAGGGGATAATGTATCCGTGACGTGTCCTCCCGCGCAGCGCCCTCCGAGGGACCCAAATACAGAGGAGCCAGAACAGAGCTGCAATTAGCACTTGCCATGGGACGGAAGGCCGGGGCGTGGGGAGCGGGGGGCGGAGGCCGTCTGCCTGCTGCAGCCCCATCTCGCTCCCCCCGACCTCCCTCTGCAGCCGTGAAGAGCCGGCGGAGACCCGCGGTCCCTTCCCCCGTAACCTGCCGTCGCTCACGTAGGATCTTGCTGCACCGGCCGTGACCTCGCGGCGCCTGGGGGGCCCTGGTATCCCCCCACCAGGCACCCAGCTGCCGTCTGGGGCCGGGCATGCGTGGGGCCGTGACCCGCGTGGGGCCTCCATCACCAGACCCCTTGTAACGCCATTAGGTCATCCGAGCACTCTCCCCTTGCTGCTCTCGCTCTGGGTAGAAGGGGCAAAATGCACCTGAACACACCTATGTGTGTGTGTATCATGTATACACATGCATATTCATGTATAGCACACATTTATACTATATATGAACATCATATATATATACTCCATGTATATTACACACGTGAGTATGCATGTATATATGCATGTACGCAAGTAAGTACATTTACAAACGCACACATCCATATATATTTACGGGTGCCTCCTCGCACTTCTAAGTGCGGTGAAAGGAAAGAGCGGGGCCGAGCTCCGGATCACCGCAGACCCCCTCGCCGATGCCGTACCGACGGCCGCCGCTCACCAGCCCCTGATGTGACTTCGCTGCCCGGGGGGCCGCTGTTGACCAGGGCTTAATGCCAGAGTGGCTCTTCGGGGGAAGGTAAAGAAATTCCCCCGAGCGCCCTGGCCTTGCTGTAACCGCGGGGTGTGTGTGTGTGTGTGCAACTTTGCATGGGTTTTCACAGCGGCCGCTACAACATGAGCGGTGCCCGAATCACCCCTCCCCGCCAGAGACAGGACTAACCCCCGCCCGGCCGACGCCGTGCCCGACCACGCTTTGACTCGGCTCCTACCCGATGGGAGCCCTTCGCTCTCCGAGGGTACCGTCGTGATGCTGCGGAGGGCACGACGGTAGGGACACTCACGTACATAAACCCACTTCCATGGGGAGCCGGCCTTACCCAGTGCCCCTTGGGGGAAGCTGGGCTGCAGGCGGCGACTGAAGAAGCAGCGTGGAGGAAACCCTCGGTGTGAAGAAAAGGAGGGACCAGGCAGAGCTGCGGGCAGAGTCCAGCGGGACTCGGCTCCACAACCGCGGGCACAGGGAGGGCGCGGAGAGGAGGATGGGGTCGCCCGTTTGCAAAACACAATGCACCGGTCCTTAATATTAATCCCCGCGAGAGGCCCGGCTGGCGGGCGAGTGTGTTTGCTTAAGGTCGCCCGCCCCTCTGTAATTATCCTATTACACCAGAAAGGGCCCGGCCCGCCGTTGTCGAGGGAAAGGCCACGCTCTTTAACCTCCCCGCCGCCGGCGGAGGCCCCGTCTCCGCGAGCGGGACTTACTTGGCCCCCCGCGCCCTCATCGCTACCCCGGTTCTCCCCTCCCGGGCTGTCTCTCTGGGACGTGCTGCCACGGGAGGCCAGTTGCCGCACTGCTTCTTCGGGGTGGCGAGCGGGAGGCTGGGGCACCCCTCCAAGCATTTGCCGCTTGAAACGTGGGGCCAAGAGGGGGGACAGGAGCCTCAAGGGGCTCCCGGGCCTCTCCGCCCGGGTTCATGTCCTGTCTCTTCCCAAATCCCCCGCTCCCCCAGTGCAGGTACCCGGCACCGCGCACGTCCTCTGCTGGCGTGTCCGAGGGGACCGGGAAAAGGATCTCTGTCCTGCCGTCCCGGGTGGGTTTATGCTAAAGCTGGCTTCCAGGTCAAGAAAAGCTTAAGAGAAACGGCTGCACAAGGGAGCCCAGGCGATGTGACCCGGTTTTTACCTTCCTGTACTGCCCTTTTCGCACGCAAAACAGGAGCAGCCTCGCAGCGCTCCCGCAAGGTCACCCGTAGCATGGGGACACTTTTGGCTTTGGGGACGGCAGATGTAGGCGGCAATTAAACCCGCCGCATTTTTTTCCTTGATTTTTTAATTTTTCCTTTTCCTTTTCTACTTTTCTATTTCTATTTCTATTTCTTTTTTTTTTTTCCTTTTTTTTTTTTCTGAATTATGCTCCGGCTGGGACTTTTTGCCAAGCAAAACAAACCAAAATTAATCTAGGAAAAAACCCCCACCAGTCGAAAAGGAACTGCAGCCTTTCAGGGAAATTCTCAAAAGTCCGCCCGTGGCCGAAACTGGACTCATTAGCACAGGTAACAACAAATATATGGGGGAAAATATTATATATATATGTATATGTTGAAAAGTATCTGTATTTCAAGAAGGTCCTAATGGGTCCGATACAGGAAGCTCCGCAATAGTTAACTAGAGAAAGAAACTGTACGGGACGTTTCTGTGTCCTGTAAACAGCATATAGGGACAAAAAATTGTCTCCAAGGCAAGAGAGAGGGGAGCACGTTATGTTCCTAACAAACGACAGTGATTTGGAGAAAGGGCAGGTTTGCGAATGTTTGCAACCTAAGTCCGACAGAAAAAGAAAAGTCCCGGTTGTTACAAGGGTGGCTCAAACCTGTCGAGGCGCATTCGCAATATTCAACTCGGAGAGTCCGAGGTGGCTGCAGGGACCTTCGGGGACGGGCTTCCCTCCGTCCGTTTTAGTTAGAAACTTCCCTTCAGGGAGGAAAAGAAAGAAGGAGAAAAAATAAAACAATTAATTACTTAAATATACATATCATATTTTCGCTGATGCGCTATTGAATCACACACACACAAAAGCACTGTTACTTAACAGCATTTTCCCCTGATTCGAAACGGGGAAGCTGCCCCGGGTGGGAACTCGAAAGCGAGCATTTCTTTCCCAGGTGAGCTGTGTTGCAGAAGAATATTTCACCTTTTGTCTTTTTTTTTTTTTCTTTTGCCTCGCTCCTCCCCCAGGGGTTTAAACTAAAAATGGAAAATAAAGACGAAAATTGTGGATGAAACCAGCCTTCAGCACCCCACAAACAAACTCTACCAGCAGCTTCTTCTCTGCTGGTCTCGCAGTGCGCCGGGAGGCACCGGGGCTTGCGCAGCGCGGCCGAGCTCTTGCGCGCCCCACGGCTCGCGTGTGTGCATGTCTCTGTGTGTCTGTGTGAGTATCTGTGTATGTCAATGCGTGTGAGGTGTTACGTGGGTCCGGGGGGCGCGCAGCACACGCGTGTCCAGCATTAGGAGGCGAGATGCCGGGGCAGGCGCTGAAGAAGAAGCTCAAAAGGAGGGGGGTTAACGCCTTTATTTTTTGAGGGGGGAAGGGGTAATCTTGGAGGCAAGTAGCTTCCCTCTGAGGGAGCTGGTCCCGGCACATGCAGGACCCCTCCGGTGCACTATGGGGTGCGCATCCCGCTAATACCCCCACTCTTCTTCCCCCGTCCCCCGCCCGGCGGCGGCTGCTCCAGCCAGCAACTGCGCGGCGAGGGTATGTGTGCTGGTTCCAGGGGAGCTTCAGTCACCATTTGCAGATCTCGGTGTGTTTTGGTAGGGATGCTGGTAGGGAAGAAGGCCCCAGGCAGGAGGCAGGTCAGGGCTGGGCATCCACTCGTGTCTGTGGAAGTGGTCCCGGTACCAGCTGGTCAACTCTTTGGATAAGCACCTTTGCAGGTCTTCCACATTTGTGTGGTTTCCTGTGTTTCTGTCTCATGTGTTCATATAATACACACAGTGGTAGATGGGTCCAGGCTAGGGAGAGAAGGGCTGTGGGGCGAAGCACAGTGCAGGTCATAACTTTTGTCTGATGTGCTTAGCTAATGTATTAACTGTGAGAAATACCACCAAGTTCCTCAGGAAAGAAAATATCATCAGATATTTTAACATTTACAGGCTGCAACATCAGCATTGGTATGAGCTCAAGAACTAGCAGCTCTTATCGTCCCCAGAGGAATCCCTTGTATTTTTTTTTCCTGTAACTACTGTTCCCAAGTGTGGATGTATACACACACACGCTCACACACACAAAT